CCTGTTGGCTCAAACAGCTCTCTCTGTTGCAGGGCAACTCCTAGAAGGGTTCGGGTGTGAACAGTCAGTGGTCAACACTCACAGCAACTAAGGGAGTGGGGACCTTGGTCCTACAAGGAGAGGTCTAGCTGACACAGTAGAGCATCCAGTACCTTCCACGGTTCAGACTGATCAAATCTACGAACTTTGCAATGGTAAATTTAAGCCAACGGGGAACAGCCCTTCTCAGATTCCGATTGGTCTCTTTATCATCTACCTGAGGAGAATTAGAGGGATGGTCGACAGCCCAAGTGGCTGCAGGTAGCTTCAAGGCCGTGATTATCCACTTCATATTCCTCTCACTACTGATTTCACTAGTCGAGGTACTGAACCTGGTGGGATAACCCAAACCAACATCCCAAAATTTCTGGTCACTATTCTATTCACAGGCCATGGATGTCACATTTTACTATTAGAGTAGGCAGGAGACTACCAAGAAATATCCCAGCAGATCACCTGGGTGTCTGCCTTATTCTGTCCTACCTTCATTATGGGCCCTTCTAACAATCAAGGCCACCATTCCTGCTAGCACGAAGGGCTCCTCACCTTGCTGTCTGGTCTTTGGCACAAGGAGATCACGGTAACTAGACAGCAGCCAAGACTTCAAATTTAATAGGGTACATGTTAGTGTTTCCCTCTGGAAATCAGTATTCTAGACCCACAGAGCCTAATGTTGCAGGAATGAGAAGCATTACTTGTGATAGTGAATTGTGGTGTCGACCTGAATAAGAAATGCCTCGTGCACTAGTTTAACACAGTTCTGAGCGTGTGTGGCTCACAGATTTACTGAAGAGGGAAGACCTACCCTTGAGGTGGGTGGCACTAACCAATGGGCTTACAGCCTGGATGGAATAAAAAGGAAAAGAAGAAGGAAGTCTCACTTTTGCTTCTTTGGAGTTGCTCCAGTCTTCGCCATCACTTTGGATTACCAGGCTTCCAGTGCAGACTCCTTAGGCTTGCAAAGCAGACTGCTGGGTTCCCAAAGCGCACTCTTATGTGATTCTACAGTGTACTCCATGCCTTCGACTTCTGAAGCTCTCAAGTACACAGATGGTGTCTTCTGCATTCTTCTGCACCTGACTATGAAGGCAGCTGTTGTAAGCCTACCTTGCAAATCCTTTATACATCATATTTTAATATCAACTCTGTTCCCCTAGTGAACCCTAACTGATACATGTGCCAAGTGAGATAGTGGGAATGCTGGTAGGCAGGGTCTTCCCTGTCTCTCTGCTCCTTGGCTCCTGGGCCTATGTATTCACCTGCTGGGTATACCAACTCAAATAATGGTCCCTGATGTATGGTGTGCTTTTAATTCAGATTGATTTTAATTCAACTTGACATTTAATTCAACTTGAAAGGCATTTTTGAAATATTTCAATTAAATAGAGTATAGATTCCCAATTTTGAAATATGAAGAGTACATTCTTTTGTCATCTTTATATATATGCACTAAAGAACTAAGATTTTAGAAAAAAAATTATGCAAACAATGAGATAAATATAAATTATTCTGACATCAGGAAGAAAGTTATAACCAAAAATACTTAATTATAGTAAAAAGCAACTCATAAAAAAGAAAGAGGCAACTTTTCAACAGAATAGTAATTAATAGATTTTTTTGGATTATTTAGTGATCTAGTTAATAAAAAGGGGTGAATCATGTGAAAACATTGGAAAAAATTTGTAGTTCTTATTGAATTAGTATGAAAACTGATTCTTATAAGGATAACATACAGCTATGTATAGAATGACTAACTGGTTAATAAATCAATAAGTAATTCCCAATTCAAAGAGTATTTAAGATTAGTCACTACCAAAGAATACTCAACATTCTCAAAAGTTGTGTTCTCATATAGGAAAGAAATTCTGTGAAAAGTTTCCCCAAAATTCATAATCTTCAACATTTACATGGTATTTCCAATGAGCATAAAGCTGAAAGAAAAGTTCAAAACTGTCATTTAATAAAAATAAGTCATTTTGACCAAACATGATGGAGATGAGACAAACTTATCTTCTCTCTGAAGGTCTATTGCCAAAATGTCACCATTTAAAGAAGTGATCTAAAGAGTATGTGATCCCAAAGAAGTAGACACCATGGCTTAGGCGTAAAATTTCCTCCAAAAGTGTAGAGGTGGAACCTGGTCAGAAAGGAGAGGTTTCTGGGGGTGGGAGTTGGAAAGGCGTGGTCTTGTCCCCAGCTCTTCCTTCCTCTCTCTCTGCTCCCTGGCCACCCTGTAGTGAACAGCTTTCCTCCACCATGCCGTTTTGCCCTTCCATTTCATCTTTCCATGGACTGAACCTGCTGAAACTGTAAGCCAAAATAAACATCTCATACTTGAAGTTGCAGGGGTTGGGTATTTTGGCCCAGCAATGGGAAAATAAGAAAAAAAAAAAAGATTTTAATCATATGCCAAGCAGTTAATAAAATACAGTATCATATTCTTGATTTTGTGATGTTTATGATATTTGTCATGTTTATGGTATTTGTCGGCCTTTTTAAGATTCAAAATCTGTTGATATCTTTAACTATTCTAAATGAACAGTGGCTTTCAAAGTTCACCTTGAATTCACAATTTGGTATCTTTTCTCCTTTAAATATCCTTAAATTGTACAAGCTTCAGGCCTCAGAGATCTGAATCTGCCTCTTCTCTGAGATCTCAAATAGACAGGTTTTTAAAAGCATTCACCACCTCTCAGGGGCCCGCACCCCCTGGCGACCAAAAGTTGTGACTTTGCCCCCAGTGTATAGAGCACACATAGGTGGGTCATAACCGTGCCCATTGCTGCCAAGCCCCAGGAGAGGAAATCCTAGCAGCTCTCAAGTCTCCCACTGAGTAGTTGATGCCTTTGTCCCCCTTTTATTAGGTGTGAAATGGTTGCTAGGAGTATTTATGTGTGTTTATCCAACAGGTCTGCAAAAAGTGTGAAGCTCTGTTTGCTGCCAGTTTTACTCTGCAAGTGGAAACTGGTAGTGGGGGGTGATGATGAGAAATTGTACCAGGAAGAAGAGTTTATTAATATCACTATTTCTCACCATGATAAATGAGTATCCTGGGGCTCTGAGGGCCTGACAGTTTTTATTTGCTGCAGATTAAAGCCTCACAGGGCCTTTTTTCTTTCCAGACTGGGGTGGCTTCACTGAAATCACAAGCTAGCAGCAGTCTCATGATGATGATGACGTCTTAGAAAATCACATCAGACATAGAAATTCGACTAAAAACATCCCAGTATGTTGTTTCTATCTGAAGGCTCTGCCTTCAGTTAAAGTGAAGCATCATCATTCTTATTTTAACTCTTGTGCTGTCTCTCTTCCTGGCAGGCCCTCTCCCATCTCTTCCTCTCCGAACTTCACACCCTGTAAGAACTTGCTCAAGCACTGCTCAGGGGTCAGCCAGGCCCCCATTTCCTTCTCTGTGTGTTGCTGACTTAGTCCATTCAGGATGCTATAACAAAATACCATAGGCTGTTCACTTATGAACACAAATTTATTTTTTGCAGTTCTGGAGGCAGGGAAGTCCAAGATCAAAACAACTGCAGATTCAGTTTCCTGGAAACAGACTATCAGGGCTCCTCAAAATGTGCTGCTTCCCTCCTTACCTTGTTAACTAGAGGAAGAGAACCGGAGCCTGCTATCTGATTCATCAATGCAACTTTTTCCTTTCTGAGTTTTCACATGGTGGAGAGAGCAATCAACCTCCCTAATCCCCATTCATGAAGGACTTGCCCCCAGGACCTAATAACTTCCAGAAGACCCCACTCCTAATTCCCGTGGAGGTTGTGATTTCAACAGGGACATTTTGGAAGGGCACAAATATTCAGGCCATAGCTCTGCTCTGCTCCTCTCTGGGAGGGCAACTTTATTGTCTTCCGAAGAGTGTAGTTATCTCCGTCTACGATTTATTTCTCTGAAACCAAAAAATTCTTGATGGCAGGACCAAGCCTGAGTCACTACTGTGTCCTCATAAGAATCAGCACAGTTTCTGTGCTAGATAAACAATTACTGAACAAATAGTTCCACTAATTGTGAGCATTGACTTCTCCAGTGCACATGAAGCAGTCAGCCCAGTCCTCATATGAACCAGCTGCTCAAGAAATAGTTGCCTATTTTTCTTTCTGCAAGAGCTTTCAATACAGATCTAGGATAGACTAGACCTGGGCAGAGGTAGTACAGGGTTGGAGTTAGGAGTATGGATTCCAGGTCCAGCCTAGACTTAAATCCTGCCGTGCCATTTACTGGCTGTGTCAACTAGGGCAGGTTGTAAACTTTGTGTACTGATTTTCTCATCTGTGAAAAGAGACAATAATTGTGAGCTACTGTGAGGATTAAATGAACTAACTCACAAAACACACTGACCAGGACTTGGCAAAGTTGGAGTGTGACAGTAGTGCTAATTATCATTATCAGTGCTGCTACTATTAGTGATTCAGGATGGGCGCCACCTCCTTCTTGAGGCTTCTCAGAATCCAGTCCCCTTGGATTGGTACATAAAGAGCCATGGCCTAATTCTGGACTAGGATATTGTGATATAATAAGAAATATACTTTTCTTCTCTAGCCCTCCTTCTGTTTTGTGGCCAGCACCTCTTAAGGCCTTTGGAGTCTCCATATCCTGCTAGATGGAAAACAGAACTGGGGGGCAGGCATGATCACTAACTTCATGTACCTGAAGCGTGGTCACCTGGAAGAGAAGAAAATTCACCTTTGCTGCACAAAGCATACCTTAATCAGAAGGGAAGTTAAGGGGAAGCCCAAACCAGTCTTGGGGGAGCAGTGCCGGGTAACAGAGGGCAGGGGAACCCATGAGGAAGCCAGCTGTATCAAGCACAGGGCTCAAGCTGAGCCTGGGCTGCCTTGTGTTATGGTTGTTATGGAAATGATGAGCTGTCTACTGCTGTGTAACAAAATACCACAACTCAGTGACTTAAACAATACATGTTTATTATCTTGCAATGTTTATGGGTCAATAATTTAAGAGCAGCTTGGCTGGGTGGTTCTGGCTCAGGTATCTCACGAGGTGGCAGTCATTCTTTGGCTTGACTAGGGCCGGAAGATCTGCTTCCAAGATGGCGCTCTCCAGGGAATCTGGAAAGGAGGCCTCAGTACCTCAACCACTTGGGCCTCTTCCCGGTGCTGCTTGAGTGTCCTCATGACATGGCAGCTGCTTCCTGAAGAGTACGGCATCCAAAGGAGAGAGCAGGACAGTGTGTTCTAAACCTGCCCTTGACAGTCATATTCCATCAGCTCTGCTGCATTCTTCGGACGAGAAGTGAATCTCACGGAATCTCCCACACTCAAGAGGAGAGAGAGTAGGCTGCATCAAAAGGGAGAGTTTTAAAGAATGTGTGGAGGTACTAAAGAACCCTTCCACTCTGAGTTACTATGATTATCTTATGATTCCTAGGCTGCATATGGATGTGTTTTTTAACAAGCAGTGATGCTACGTTCCTTTGCTTTTAAAGTTTCTAGAAAAGACAGGAATCATCTCAGTTTCTCCATCCTTCGGATGTAGCTTAGTCTACAACAATACAGACAGTCACTGCCTCTGTTTCTAAGGCCTGGCTGTCCCCACCCCAGCCATTGCTTGGCTTCCTACTCTCACAGTGTCAAGAGAGCTGTCTTCCTCTGGAGGCCAAGGCTGGCATGTTGGATACAATGGAAGAGTGGAGCTTGGATCCTGCTGGATACTCAGGAGTTTCAGGCTCCTGACCCGGCCCTGCCCTACAGATTCTCTTAAGTAAACAAACAGATGGAAGGTGTTGGAAAGGAGCTGCAGCTATGGGACGCACCAAATGAGGCAGTGAGCTGTGGTCCGTCTGAGAGCTTGGGAGTGCTGCTCTGCATCAGTTATTCACATTCACACTTGTGCTCAGAAGATGTCCCCTTCCTTCCCGGCAGGGCCACAGAGCCTTTGAAACAATGGGTGCTTTTTAGATTTGTAAGGCAGTGTAATTGAATGGCTTTTGGGTAAAAAAATCCAGAATTATAAAGTTTGCATGCTTAAAGATTGATTTTTGTTTAACAGGCATGATCACGTGGCCCAGGGATGCGAAGGGGAGCACAGACACCGGGGATATATGTGTGCCGTGTAATGACATTCCTCTCCCTTATAGCTGCCTTCTCTGATGGAAGGAGATACAACTGTCAGGCTGAGAAAGGGGTCAGGAGAGAAGGGAGGCAGCAGGGGCAGCAGGAAGTGCTTCCTTAAGTGCATCTGAGTAAGGATGTGTTTAAGGTCAAGGGAATGGTGAGTGCATATTTAGCTAGCAAAGTGCCAGGACATCTTTTATTGTACTTTTAAAGTTAACACTCATAACAGCTAAATGAAGGAGGCATTACTATCTTCCACTTATAAAGAAGAAACTTTGGGATTAGCTTAAAATAAATTACACTGCAAGTAAGTGTCAGGGAAATAAGCAGAGACAGCTCCCAGTTTGACTTAAAACACTGTCCCTCCTGCAGGTAAATTCCTGCAAGAGTGGTTAAAAGGAAAGGTGGAGCAATGAGTCCCACCAGCACGCTTCAGTGTTTTCAAAGAGCTGAAAGGTGGTAGCACCGTGCAGGCAAAAAGCAGGTGTTGGCCACCCAAGAAACCTCCTAACAGCATGACCAGAGAATGCAACTTTCTCTCTCTGGTGCTATTTCCTTGCTTGTAAAAGAAAGAGGTGTGTGTGTGTGTGTGTGAGTGTGTGTGGAGAGGCTGTGGACCCAGTGTCTGAGTCATCTGCGGGAGCTTTATAAATACAAAAAAAAAAAACAAACCTGCCCTGCAGAGTGTGCCTTTGAGTCAGAATCTCAGAGTTGGGATAAGGAAGCAAATATTCTGTTAAAACAACTCCCAACTCTCTAGGAGTTGCAGTCACTCAGCCCTCAGCATAAACCAGGGCTGGGAATCATGGATGGAGCAATCTCTAAGGTCCCTCCAAGCTCCAACATTTAATTCATTCTGGGCCAGGAAAGGAAGAGGAAACCAAAAAGTTGGGACAGTTTGGGGAGCTCTGATCCATTAGAGGTTTCTCTGCTGGCTATTACCTCTTGGCACACTGCTGGGACTTTCCCCTTTATTTTCTCTTGGGGCCTTGTATGTGCTGTTTGGAGACAGACTTGAATGGAAAATTGGCCTCTTTTTAAAGTAAAACCTAGCCTGCTCAAAAGGGATCTTACTGATCAAATCTAAGACAATGTGGGCATTAAAATAATAGAAGTAATTTATTACAGACTACTGAACCTAATAGGAACCCATGAGTCCATGTTTATATAAATAAATAGAAAAAAAGAGAAGACAGAAAAGCTTTCACTCATAGTAGAAAGCCAAGTAGTAGGTGTGAAAATGATAAAGTTAGAAAAGTGCCACTCGGCAGCCAATCGAAGTAATCATGGTTTCAGTCAAGGGTTATCAACAGAAGCCAGAACAAATGAGTGAAAGTTTAATAAGGCACAGAATATTTATATGGTTTCACAGTATATTCGTATAAATGCCTTCCTAACACCTGGCAGAGGCTGTGGTGATCAAGCCATAGACACCAACAGAAGCTAACAGCAACATTTGGGTCAGGCGGACACTGTGTCACCTGACAGGACGCACCGGGAAGGCAGCAGGGCTTCAGCACTGATCCTGCAAATTGTGTGATCCAAATCCAAAGAGAAAGCATCCAGTAAACCCAGACTGAAACTGCCTGCAAAGGACTTGGCCTGTGCTCTTCAAAAACCTCAATCAAGACTGTGCAAAACAAGACTGGGGTGGGGGACAGGGACTTTTGTTGACTGAGAGATTCAACAGGTATAATCAATGAAGCTAGCATGATCAGGTGTTACACCCAGGACCAGAAAGGAAAGGAAGATATCACTGTTGTGTTTCCCTAAAAGATACTATTGGGAAAATCAGCAATAGGTGAGTAGAGTCTACAGACAGGAGAGTACAGTGTCAAACCTAATGTTCTGGTTTTGGTGAGTGCACTCAGGCTATATAAGACTGTTCTTAGAAGATGCATACTGAGGCGTCTGGGGTTATGACTGCAACTTACTTCTGAATGGTTTAGAAAAAGGATGCCAGAGAAAGAGAGAGAGAGAGAGAGAGAGAGAGAGAGAGAGAGGGAACAGAAGTATAGAAAGAATAAAACAAAGGAAGAGGGAATATAAATGATCAAGATGTGATATGTATATGTACTAATTCCCCCAATTAATGTAATTATGTATGCAAATATTTACTAATAGAAAATTTAAAATAAAGAGTTTCTCATTTCAGTGAGGTCAGTGAAAATCAGACATTTTAAGATATTACATTTCAATAAATAAAACAGTCTAATAAACTGTTATGGATTACAGAAAGTTTACAAAGAAAAGGAACATACTTGCTTTTAAATCTGAAAAAGCAGACATTTAAACATTCACAATATTCTAAACTAATAACCACCATTAACTTTTCCTCATCAGCTCACTCAGCGTGATGTCATTAACACTTGATTCACTGGCTCTCGGCTTAGCAGTCTCATGAGCCTGTGTGCTTTTTACTGAAAAGTCCTGGAAGTTCAGACTCAACCCACGAGTATGGCTTGGAAGTAGGCCAATACCTCAGAAGCCTGTGCCCCAAAGTCTCTTCTTTGATGTGTAAATAGTCTCAAGCACCTGCGACCCTCCTGTGGGCTTGTGAGACGGTTCTTCCTTCTTGGGCCCATGAACTCAGACCTGTAACAGATAGCAGAATTTTTAGCCGAGCAGCAGAGCAAACAAAAACAATGTTAGATGATAGAGCAAATGACTGTGGTTAATTTATTATTGATAATTTTCAGGGTAAAGGTCTGACGGGAGTTCATAAGAATAATGTAACTGATGAGGAAATTGGATTGCTCCTGCGGCCATGCATAACAAGATGAGAAAGCCATTCCAAGACAAGTTTTCAGACAACATGTCTCTAAGAATAAGGATTAATCCTATTTTCAGAGAAGTCGGTGAATGTTAATCAGATTTATAAAAATGGAGGAACATAATTTTATAGGGGAAAAACCTTGATATATAACATAGTAATCCTGAGATGTAAAATAATAATTGCCAACAGGATAGCAAGTACATGCCAGGAGCACACCAAGAATATAAAGAGATTCAACAAATCTAAGACATCTGTACTTTCACAAAATTCCACAAGTAAGTCTGATGAGCATCCCTGGCTGAAACTCAGAAAAGCAGATTTTTTTTTTTTTTTTTTTGAGACAGGGTCTCACTACGTAGTTCAGACTGCCCGGGAACTCACTATGTAGCCTAGGCTGATCTCAAACTCTCAGGGATCCTCTTGCCTCAGCTTCCAGAGTGCTGGGAATACAGGCGTGCGCCACCACACCCAGCATGAGTAAAGCAGAATTTGCTAGATTCAAATGAAAGAATTAAGCCAGGTTAACATTTTAAATAACAACTGAAACTGTGCCCACAATTTCTCTCTAATATCATCAGCCAAAGCACCACCAAGACTCTGAAAAATATAGAAAAGTCCAACAAGGATTAAGCCAATAATTAAGCCAACAAAGATTAAGCAGTTGAGACATATGGAAAGCAGGGCATAACAAATATACAGGGACTTCCCATGAATTGTATAACTTCCACAATCCCTATATGAGTAAAACATTTTTATCTATCCGAACTTAACTCAGTGTCTCTTCTGATTTGACAAGTTTTCCCATGCAATTTTATGATAGTAACATATCAAAAACCCTAATCACTTCTAGCACCTCTCTTTGTACAAGGTGAAAGAACAAATCTTTGTGATTTTGCAAGGGCCTTCTGGGAAATCTCAAAATACTTTTTGATATAAAAGATATCCTGAAATGTTCTTTCCTCCATTAATCGGTCTACATTTGGATCTGATTTTCAGAACGCACAAATAAAAAAGTTGTCAGAGAAAATTTGGACATGTGATTAACATGGAATTGTGGGTGCCTGAAAATATTTAGTTTCCTATTTAATCAAAATAGCAATTTTAAAAAATTTAACCATAGAAAATAAAATGATAGTAAAGAACATAGAAGTTCTTCCAAAACTGTGATTTTTTTTTTTTTGCTTGAACAAAGTCATAACAAAGTTAACATAAAGAATCTTTGCCTTGTAGGTGGTTATAAAGAAAGTTTTTTTAAAAAAGTTATATTATTTGCCAAGGAATTAATCAGTATTCAAGAAAAGATTTCATTAAAGTAGACCAGACTTTATAAAAATGTTAACATATTTCTTACCTGTTCTTTAAGAACCAGATATTGTAAACCAAGGTAACTAAAATTCACTTAGCAAGTTTGTCCTGTATTATGATCCTTCATATTCTGGAAAACTTTGACACTTCAGACTTCACCTTCAGGTGCCATGAATACTAGATCAACACTAATTTCATCATAATTATACTAAAATGTTATTTCCACCAACATGCTATGTAAGCCCTACTGCCATTTTCAAATGAAAAGATGTATTTTTTAATTTTATGTTTTAATTTTTAATACAGTTATCAGGAGTTACAACCCATACAAACAAAAGCTCCTCAGGAAATCCTCAGTAATTTTTAAGAGTGGAAAGGGATCATAAAACCAAGAAGTTGAAAGCCACTGCACTAAGCCAACCACCATCAAACAGTGCGGAGTCCTCAACAGGTGTAATATAAGTTCCAGAAAGCAAAGGAGAGAATCAGGAGTTACTGCACTTACTATCGCTCTTGTTGATCCAAGTGTGGAATTTGTTTCCCCATTCCTATAACCCTAAACTTTATTGGTTTAGAGAGCCTGGTTTTCACAGAAAAACGCTTCCCTCAGGAGACCCAGCAAGGTTCACATCAAAATTTCCCCTGTGCCTCTCGGTGGGCTGCTTTTGTCATCTTTGTGACAACCACGGAAAAGGCCAGGAGTCACCGTCAAGGCTTGATTGTGAAGAAGAGGTGGGGCTGCTGTTAGCTAACTGGAACAGGGAAGAATACGCTCAACAGGCACATTTGATAGTACACGGAATATGGCTGTCATGGCTGTGAGGCTTAGGCCCCCCTGGGGCAGAGGCCCGGCCACTCTGGGAGGTGAGCCAGCCACACAACCAACCAACAGAGCTGCCAGCTGAGGAGAGGCTCTGGAACGGTCCTAGAGGGGGCACATGATCGGTATCGGTTGCAACTTCTACGTGAGCTGCAGCTGTGGGGCTGTCCTTGCTGCCATTTCCTTTGCCTCAGATATTTCCTCAAGAAAAACAAGAAACTGTTCCCAGACTTTACTCTACAGAGAAAATTAATCTAAATAACACAACATATGGCTTAATGGATGTTGTATTGCTCCCCCGTTGGCTTCTTCTAAGTTTGAGGCCCTCAATCTTCCAACTGATAGGGACTCCAAGCATTGGGGCATCTAGCTGACTCCTTCTCCAGTTGTCCTCCACTGAAGAGAGTCTGGCAACAAAGTGTCCGACTGCCCAGCCACCTTGCCTCCAAGCAGGGCTCAGGATAACCCAGAGACTTACTATGACAGAGGCACCTCTGTCGCAGCTAAGTCTTAGCTCAACATTTTACTCGGCCCAATGCTGTGTCTTCACTCTGCCCACAAATGTTGAATCTGAGAATCTGTGCCTGTAGAAAATAAGGGATCCAGGGTTCGGGTCAACAGATGGTAGCCATCTTGGTCCCTGTTGCCATTTTGCCTATCAGATGGCTCGGGCATACATTCCAAATCCTGCAGGATAAACGGAGTCACTAGCATGGCCAAACATTTGTGCTAGTCACAGAGACTGTTCTCTAACATGCTATGTTTTGTCTGTTTGTTCTAGAAAGTCCAGGCACATTCTGGTTGGCCACTGCCCACCTCTATCTAGGTTAGCATACGAAGCCCCTTTTCCTGCCTGGGTGTGCAGGCATCTAGGTCTCGATGCTACCCAGTTTTCACTTCTTTCCATAAGTCCCCGATAAATTGCATTCTGTGCAACCCTGGATCTGTCGGACACTTTCTTTGGTCTTTCTACACCTCTGGCCTTTGGCTGCCAGTTCTTGCATGCCAAAATTTTTTGAAACAGTACCTATTAACATTTCTTAGAAGCAATTTCTCTATAGCACACAGTTTGGGAAATACTAGTCCACATCTACAAACACTTAATTATCAATCATTTTGTTTGGCACCTTTAAAAGTTAAAGGAGCTTGGGGGGTGCTTTTAATAAGTGTAAGTCATTTGTAAAAGCTTTGAGGAAGACAGGCCCGATGTCTATGTCTGCTCTTAATAAATTACACAGTAACAGAGATACTGAATATCAATTCACGGAATCCTGTACTGTCTCAAAGTTCAAGCCAGTATTTTTAAAAATTAGCCCCACTAGGACTTTAGCAACGATGATTTATAAAGTGTTTCCAGAGAATAATTATACTGATCCAACTGAAGGAGTTCATTCATGAATTAAAAAGTCTCTATGCACTCTTGGCATATAGGTGCCCTTCAGCAAAAGGGACTCAGACAGTCTCCTTCTTGCATCCCTTGCTGAGTCTCTTGCCACATGAAATGCGTGGCACAATTCCAATGACCTCACCCCTCAAATGATGAGCCTATGGATTAACCTAATATAAGGGAGCTAAATGCCATGGGGAGTTGTTGGCTTGAATCACTTAGCAGTAGAGGACTCCATTTGGACAGCGGCCACCTGACTCAAATTCTTTATTTTAGGAAGAATAAATGTCAGACCTCTGAAGCTCGGGGTGTGACCCAGACAACCCTCAACTTTTCTCAGGTTTTGTTCTGGTTCGTCAGTAGATTTGTCAGTCTTGGCAGCACTTGGACTCAGAGTAGCCAGGCAGTTACAGGGATGACTTCCCTTGTTCCTGTCTTAATCCTGTACATCTTTGTGCTAATTCTGCACATTACCAGGGATGTTTACAATCATAAAAGCATGACTGACATAGTTATTTGTAGTAAGTCCAGAGTTGGAAAGGTACTAAGGGAAAAGAAAAAAAATATGAGAAAATGAAAAAAAATGGAAATAAAGTATTTATAAACGGGGAAGGGAGGAGGGGGTGAAGGGAGGGCAGGGACAAGGGGAAAAAATGAGAGCCAAGACCTATCATGTAAAGGTGCAAGATCCCAATAATGAATGTAACTGTACTGTATACATAAAATGTACCAATAAACTCAATAAAAAAATAATAAATAAATACCCCCCCAAAAGTACAGAGTTGCAAGAGAGCCTAGGTACAAATGGGGACTGGATTAACATGCCTCGGGTGAAGAGTGTGAGACGATCCCCATGTCAGCCAACAAACATGTCCATAGTATGTTCTAACAGTGAAGTACAAATTAAGATTTCATATTTTGGTCTCGGGATCCAAAGGTGAAGGCTTGAATCAATGACAAACTCTGTTCCATACGGTATGGAGAGTGTCCTGGCAAGGACACACTCCTAATGGCTGAGCAACTTCATTTGAGAAAGGAATTGACTCTGGCCCCGTATCACTGTGAGTTCCAGACCAGCCTGAGCTACACAGTGAGTTCCAGGTCAGTCTCCACTACATAGTGAGACCCTGTCTCTAAACACCAAAAGAAAGAAAAAGATTTGCCTTGAGAAAAATGGTAATGGAGAGGAACCATGCACTCACCTCCTGCCATTGCTGCCACTGGCCCTAGGCCTCAAGTGATTTGCAAAGGTAGCAAGAGGAGAGCAGCCAAACTACCAAATCCTGACTAGTTCTGCTCCTGGGTGT